ACGTCATGCAAGAACTTAAACGGAAAAATAGGAATATTGGCTCTGGCGGACAACAGGACCACGACGCCCTCCACGGGAGAACCTTTTGAATCGTCTTAGGACGGTTCAATAGGTAACTCAACAATGTCCATTAAACTACAATCATTATACACCGTTGAATGAGATGAACATATGACAATGATGGGATGAGTGATTATTGAAGGAGATGGCCTTGTCCTATAAACTAACTCCATCTTGAGAAGTTTCTGAACGATTTCCTAAATATGGAATCCGAGGGTTCATTATTGTGCTGACAAGAGCCCTCCACTGGTCCCTTCCTGAGCCAGATCAGTCTAGTCCATACCACCCCATCCTAGTATTCTAAGATATATTTTATTGTAAACATGCCACATGCGTTTGGAACTCGCCGGTTGTTTCTTTTCTTCCGGATTTCCCACTAAAATCCTATATGCATATTTCTTCTTCCCACGCGTGCTACATTCCCTGCCATCTCATTCTCCTTCACTTGATCAATCTAATTTTAATTGAAGAAGAGCTCAAGTTATGATGTCCCTAATCATAATACTGTTAACAAAACTACTTTTAACAGTGAGTTGTTAGTCCCACATCCAACTTACAAGCCGTAGGACAACCTAATGTCTGCTGTCTACGACATCTTATACAATATATTCGCAACTATCCTCCATATCTGGACGCCGTCACCTCCATCCGCAACCTGACAACCAGAGGACAATTTACACTTATGTAGTGGTGACAAGGGAGTCTCTCACGGGCTAATTCCCCGTGTAAACAAAATATGGTGTATCCCTCTGAGGGCTAAGACCGCCTCTGTGGTCTAGTGGTCAGAGTTCCTGACTACAGATCTAGAGGTCCGGGTTCAATTCCGGGCGCTACCAGATTTTCTGAAAAGTAGTGGGTCTGAAACAGGGTTCAATCAGCCTCGTGAGGATAATTGAAGAGCTATCCCTAGGAAATTGCGACTCCGGTCTAGAAAACCAAAATTAACGGCAGTGGGGATTCGTTGCGCTGACAACGCTACACCCTCTATCCGCTATATTTGGTACTGGGTCTGGTCAAGTGGGATTTGTGGTGGACAAAGTGGCGCTGGGGTAGGTTTTCTCCGAGTACTTCGGTTTCCCCTGCCAATCTTCATTCCACCAATTGCTCCACAATCACCTTCACCTATCATCGTATATTTTGTGCCATAAGATAAATCAGCTGAAACAGCATTAATACCATACAAGACACAGCTATAGCACTGATTATGACAGAGAACACATGCGTGTTTATCTCCTCATCAGACAAATCCAGTGGCTGCCACTCACAAAATGGTTTAATCTGGCTCTTCATGATGAATTGAAATTTACACAACTCACAGTTTTGGATGTCTGAAGACTTGATCCATTGCTGCAGGCAAGCCTGATGAACATATCGCAGGGATCCTTCGCATAAACATGGTGCAATAAGGGGCACCTCACTGTCTCCTTCACAGTGGCAGATTCTGCAGATATCATGTCTCTTAGAAAGAGCTGAAGCCTGGGATGCCCAACGTTCTGCTGGATGCTCACTAGAAATTCTGAGCACGGCCTCCTGCACTTTCCAGTCCTAGTTCTGGGTGCTTGCAATTATATCTTCTTTGGCGCAATCAAGTGGCGAAACGCTAATGTGTTGTAACGGCATTTCAAAAACTGGCTTACTTCATTCATTCACTTACTAGTGTGGGATGTCGATTTATGAAGAGACAACCACTTGTTGAATTGATCCGTAAATATTTATTATATGTAGTTGCGCAGTATACAGACGCACTTCTGTTTGAAGAATTGAAGACTAATACTACAGTATCAACAATATTATCGCTTGCAACTCCCAAACCACTCTCCCTTAATAGGTCCAAGTCCAAGTCACATTGCGACCGACGGTCAGTCAGTCAGTAAGTCTTGGTGTCGAGCTTCATCTGAGGCTCATGACCAGTTTATAACAGTCCAACGTCGGCCAGAGACCAACAGAGTTTGTATTCGAATTTAACAGGAAAGAGTTCTTATCCGACTAGAATAGAAAAGTTCTTATCCGACTAGAGCAGCTGTGGTGTAACACTGAAGAAGAAATATCTAAAGGACGTTGTAAGTGGAAAATAACTGCAAGTGCGAGTGTAAAAGTGACTGTCCAATAAAGGCGTTCGTTCAAATCCGAGAACCCACTCAATGTCTGTCGCGTTGCCTAGCAAACAGGCGACAATAATTTTTAGTAGTGACGTTCTTCCACAACACACGTAATGGTTACCTTCGCATGACGAGGACGTTTGCTAAACGATTCANAAGAGTTCTTATCCGACTAGAATAGAAAAGTTCTTATCCGACTAGAGCAGCTGTGGTGTAACACTGAAGAAGAAATATCTAAAGGACGTTGTAAGTGGAAAATAACTGCAAGTGCGAGTGTAAAAGTGTAAAATTATTTCTTATTTGCAGGCCGAAGGGCGTAGTGATAAAAGGGCCCCACTTCAAAAATGTTAAGTGTCTCTCACTAACTCGCACTGAACCGACCTAATAAATAGAGCTATATCGAAATACATAAGATGTGCACTGCTGATAACAAAATATTCCCTGATACTGTGAATGTGTTCAGACACTTCGAGCGAACCTGCAGCAGGTCCCATTCGTGTCATATCAAGTTCTAGGTAGGTGAAGTGAAACCAAACGTGTTCTTGTGCTTAACTAATTAAGCGCCGTATCATGAAGACATATGGGAGAGTGGAGGTACGGTAGGTGGTCAGCTTCACGCCCCGGCCTTTCCGCCCATTGGGAAAGAGCTCCTGTTACTCATTGGGTAGGAGGTGGGCCCTAGAGCGTGATGCTGTGGGCAAGGAAATATATCTTGCCCTACTGAGAATCGAACCCCGACATTTCAGCCCGTAGTCTGTTGCTATATCGACTCAGCTATTCTCGCTCACTACTGAGTTCTAGGTAGTATATAGTAAAACTATAACACGCCTGAAGGACAATATCTCTTATTTCCTTCAAAACCTGAACTTCTAATTACTGCATTTACTGGTGTTACTGGTAAAGTCTAAGAGTCACCGAGGGCAGGAATGGATATTTACGGGCCCTAACTCGCCTGTTCCTGCTTCATATCGAATAGCTCAATCTGAAAATTGAAAAATATCAGGAAATGATTCGAACAGAGTGGCCGCAAGGACTAAGGCATGAACAGCCTTCTCCCGCTCAAACACTGAGATCTTGGGTTCGAATCCAACTACAGGTATGGATGTTTATCTGCGTTTATTCTGTGTTTGTGTTGTCCTGTGTAGGAAGTGACCTTGTGACGTGCTTATCCCCACCCAAGGAGTCCTATGGACTGTCTATATGACATAGAATCTGTAAAAGGGAAGCCGAGGTTCACCATGGATTGTAGTTTCCGCAGAGTATTAGCAGGAAGTGACGTGTCATGCTTACAAAACCACACTTTTCGGTAAAATTTTATACCTGCTGTTCGGAAGGTATATCGAAAATTGTATTATAACCTACTGCTTTTCCCCCATGGGACGAGAGTAAGTCCACTTGGTGCAGCGGCCAGTGTTTGACCTATTGTACCAGCCCCGAATGATAGATGATGGATAATATAGAGCGGTGGGTGGAATGCGAATTGGCAGGGGAAACCGAAGTGCTCGGGAAAAACCTGTCCCAGTGACACTTTGTTCACTACAAATCTCACATATTTGACCTGGGCTCGAACCCGGGAAGCCGTGGTGAGAAGCAAGCGACTAACCGCCTGAGCTATGGCACGGCCCTATAGTCTACTAGAACTTAATTCTAACCTATCCTAATAATATTTCTTTTGGCCATTTTCGAGCCTTTTCGTGGTAGAACAAACTTATTCAGCTGTTGCTTTTCAACTTGAACTTTCGTAGCCCAGAAAGAAAAATCTCTTCGATTTCAGAACGATTACTTCTTAAAAGTTGTAACTGTTTTGTTTACATATTTTACGCGTGTAGAGTTAATATATTTCAATGCCGCTGTATTTGGATGTTATGTTCACGGTTCGCTCTTCTCTTCAGAGAGTGGGCACATGCGCTGCACTCCCCGTGTATAAGCTTCTGGACAGACACAGAGACTAAAATTAACTCAGGATTGCAAGCTGCTCTTTCTTGCCTGGTCTCACAGATCGTCGTATGGAAATCAAACCGAACGGCATTTATTTAAGAATCACAAAATGCAATTACTCAGAAATTTCATTCATGAAGCGCCATTCTGGTTTATTAGCAAATGATAGGGTGAGCTACGAATTAACTTAAATATTTCCGAATTACAGCCTTCAGTACTACAACGGCACATTAATATATTTAGCGATACTCTTTGTGCTGCGGAGGTTAAGCTGTATAGAGTAGAATTAGGTAGGAAAATGTTAACGATAATGAATTTGTGGAAGCCTGTTTTAAGTTGACTCTTGTGTTATTTAACGTATTTTCTTGTTGCATGTGTTGTGTAACAGCAAATGGCGAGATAATGGTCAACGATGAATTGGGAAGGATGTGAAACGAAGAGGTCGTGTCTTATTTTGGGGTACTATTCCAAAATCGGCTTAGGAAATACCTCTGCCCACAATCCGAGATTCGAACCCAAACTTCCAGGATACGAATCACGTAATAGCGGGAATACCAGAAAAACGAAATAATAACTGAAAAACAAAAAATAAAACCCTTGTTTTAACAAAATTAAATAATAATTTGGAAGGAGGTTTAACCCAGTTTTAAATCATGAATTAAAATATCTATAAAATGCATTAATTATGTAATAATATATAACTGGTGATGACCGTGAAAGGTAGAAAGAAATCATAGAAAGCCCGGTTATAAAAGAGTGACAGTGTAGGAGCACAACGTATATTGAAGACTGCCCTTGCAAATTAGAGTATTCTGTGAGCTTGTGTGAAGTTGGACTGAACACAGTGAGGGAGATCAAAAAACCCTGTGTGAATATTTCCTATAATTAGATGAAGTTTCGTACCAAATGCAGCTGTCGAGTGGACGGATTCGTCCTCGCGGTCCCGGCCCGCAGGTTTTCTATTCTGAGGTTTATTTCCTTCTTCTCTTTCCTCGGTCCTTCGAGGCCAATGCCGGAATCTGCAATTAGGTCACGACCGCTTCGTTCTGTGTACAATGTAATTCATTATATCACTAATCAAAATATTCTTGACGCCATATGCACTGAGCTACTTACATCATGTTTAACTAAGTTTTGAATAAAGATGAAAAATCGAAATACGTATCTGTCTTTTTAATGTGCCTAAAAAGGCCCACAAACGTACAAGCTCTACGTCATACCGACTGTGAAGGAGCAGGAGAAAATGCGTTATTTAGGATTTTACATAATAATTTGGTCCAGAATGCTTTTGCAATATTCGTAACAGGTCTTAAAAGCAAGGCAATAAGGAAAGATGATCACATCGAAATATTCGTGCAATGAAAATTCAAATCTATTCCTGGAAGAACTAGTTAAAAATAGAAATTTACTGCAGTCATAAATGCTTTCGTTGGCAAAGTCAATGAATAGTAAAGATTAATGAAGTTATTGAACAGTAAAGGCTAGAGAGAAGTACGGACTTTTTCTAGAATTTCGTTAATTATAAGAATAAATCCCGTCAGAATGTTAACGGAAAGTTGTTAGAAACGAACTTCGTCAAAAGTGCTTGTAACCTAGCCCTTTATAACTCGGAAAATTCTGAGTTAGATTTATACTGAAAATAGAAATATGCACTAAGCCATGATGCTATTTAGACGACTATTTCATCAAATGTAGACACTCTTTTACCGACTTAAGCATATTTTCCACTGTCACCATCTTCTGCTCCTTTTGTAAATACTTTTACATATATAAGGTCAGTGTAAAAACAGAAGAGCGTGCCTTTATCTTTTATATACGTGGACAAATCTTTATCACATCGAGGACTGACGGGAATAAGTTATAGGTTTAATGAGTTCTACCAAGTTTTGTGAAAATTTGATGCAGTTGGATTCAAAGTTCCTGCTTATCAAAGGCCAAGTGGTACTGCATACCAGTATGGACCAAATTCAAATTCGTCGCAGTAGCTGTGTTGTAGGCTTTCTCACCAAGTTTCATGAATGTTTTTAAATCGTGTGTGAGATAAAACGTAAACGTATTACCTCTCAATCGGAGTTACTTCCATGAACTCCATTGAAAGTGCCAATTCTGCAGCTACTCAAGAATTTCCCAGCATTTTATGGAAACCGTAAGTACATTACCGTGCTCACAAGAGCCCTCCACTGGTCCCTATCCTGAGACACATCAATCCAACCAATACGATCCCATCCTATTTCTCTAAGATCAATTTTATTATTGTTCACCCATCTACGCTTTGGTCTTCTTAGTGGTTTCTTTCCTTCTGGCTTTCCCACCAATATCCTATATGCATTCCTTTTCTTCCCCATTCATGCTACATGCCCTGTCCACCTCATCCTCCTTGACTTGATCATTCTAATTATACTTGGAGAAGAGTACAAGTTATGAAGCTCCTCATATGCAGTTTTCTCCAACCTCCTGTCACTTCATCTCTCTTCGGTCCAAATATTCTCCTCAACATCCTCAGTCCCTGTTTAATTCAGAGAATGATGGCACTTCATTTAGATATAACAGAAATGCATTAAAATGTTTTTAACTTGATGCCTATTGCAAAAGGTAACTCGGGGTCCTGAGGGCGTAAAGAAACCGGTAATTTGCATGGTAACTATGGTTAAGCATCCTTTACGTATAAGAGTGCAATGGAAATAGATTAGATAGTAAATATTAGCAAACTAATGCATACCAGGCTTCCATTTAGAATTAAGTGATACAGGCCTATTCAGTTTCAGTTTATATTGAAGAGTACATTCATCTTGGGCATGATGCCATGTAGTCCTGCATTTCGGAGGAACACACTTCCTCCATATTCATAGTCGCTCCTTCATAACCTGAAACGTAAGTCAGATTCATGGAATATGTTAATGCTAATTGGTTGGAATGATAACACGAAATTGAGTAATTTCAGGGTTTACATTCGCCGTTACGGAATTATATTGTATTATATATATATATATATTTTTTGTATAATACACGTATATAAATTTGAAAAGGCTGATGAAATACCTGAAATTAGTCAATTTCGTGTTACAATAGCAACGAATTAGCGTTTGCATGCTCCATTGTCGTGAGTTATGTAGCACGTTACGAACGAGTTAATATTATTTAGTTTCATTGTTTCTTGGCTAAAGCCGACCACAGTAGCCGCGCGGTCTAAGGTATGAACAGCCATCGTCCACTCGAACACTAGGATCGTGGGTTCGAAGTTGTTCTGTGTGTAGGTAGCGGCCTTGCGGCAGGCTGATCCACGTCCATGGAGTCCTACCGTCTGTGCATGGGATTAACGAACTGAAAAAGCAGCCACGGTCCAGAGGGCTGTAGAGCCGTAGAAAGAAAGCTTTGTCTGTTCCACGAGTATTTGTGCTAATACTTGTACTTAGACTTGGATATACAAAGTTGAGTTGGTATTTATCATGGAATTACTTAGCTTATGAAGATTAGGAAGATTCATTTCCTTTTCAAAACATGCGTACTGAAGTTACCCATGATAATCAGTTCTATGAAATCGTGCCGAAAACGCCCATTGGAAAATAGCAGAATAGCCTTAGCGTGAGTTCGATATGTCCATACAGGCAAATCGACGCACTACACTTACACGATAGCTTTAATTCACGTCTTCATGAATAGCTAAGTTATCTGAGTAAACTCTATCCGTACGTGCCTCCTGTTAATTTTACGCGTACTCATAAATAAAATACGAGTATTAGGGTCGTTTGTTGTGTGTATGTGTGCTAACTCAGTTAGTCGTCTCGACAATAGACTCTACTAGCAAACAAATTCCACTAGGAAAGTATCTTCGCAAATGGCCTGTATAGAATGCGTCTAGGCTTCCTATGTTTTCTGTAGGTTACGTAACGACTCTTTCAGCATTCAGAATGAACAGCGTCGGATGATAGGTTAATATTTGGATGATGAACTGGAAAAGTCATCAGTCCTAAAATATTCGAAGTCCTATTATCGGATTTGCCTGAAGAAAGGAGAATATTTGGTGTCCCAGCCGAGATTCGAATCAAGTACTTCCAGAATATGATGTACGTTATGTTTATATTAATTTGTCCATCAAGAATGTAATGAATTATAAAATTATGTTTGATCTTGTCCATATTTCTCTGTATATTTAAATTATACAGGATTCCGGAGACTGCATTTGCTTCCGTATTCAGGTGTAAAAGGGGGAAAGAATCCCACTCAGTTTAGCTCATTGCACAGGATGTCTGAGCCACGAGGCCTAACTGAATACGATCCCTTTCCATATTACACCTGATGACAGAAGCAGACCCAGCTTCCAAAACATCGTATAATTTTACTCTCTCTATGATGGTAGGCAAAAAAAAAATATAATACAAAACAGATCATCGTTGCAGACCTTCAGGGGATCAAAATGTTTACGAACTCCTCTAATGATATGGTCGATGTTATTAACTGCTAGGCATAGTATTTCTTTATTAATTGTGCAGAATCCTTTGCGGTTATACCCTTCTCTAATATTCTCGTAATTAGTGAAGGAATGTTCATAATAGTATATTTCTGCATCGCGACGCAGTTACAGCCTGAAGCCATCAAATTTACTATTTCTTACAAATAATTTATTTCAAAGATATTTTTATATCTCTTCTAAAATAGAATACATTTTTTCTGGAATCAGTCCACTTACAACACACATGATTTATATGTTAGATTTAACGCTTCAAGTTTGTCGCTGTTTTAATGTGTTGTTATGTAAAATAAAGTATTAAATTGCGACTGAGTAGCTATCATATCTGAGGTTTTCCATGGCTTTCCTCAGTCTTCACAGGGGAAGGAAAGACAAATTCAAGGAGGCACCTATTCTTGAGCAGGCGTACGTATGATGATTTGAACTTTTTTTCGCAACGTAGTAATTACATATAAAAATATAATACTTACAGTAATTACTGAGATCGAAGACTCTCGAATTTATGCAGCCAATCTTCAAAATAAATATTCCTTTCGAAATAACTCCAGGCAATATTCACAAAAATACGTCGTAAGTAATTGTGTAAACACTTAAATAAATCAACACAAACACTAAATCGCAAGAATTTGTTTCTTCTTAAACAAGCCGAAATAAATGGAATATTCTTAGAACAAATGTATTTATGGAACAAACACTGGCGATATTCCTATAACATTTCGTTGGTGGGAAGCAACAACACTAATAACTGTTTCACTTTCCTGTCGACTTTCGCTGTAATTTCATAAACGGGAAGAGTAACATCCTTCTACGCTGAATTTATTCCTAAATACGCTTTTCTTACTTTCCCGTACCCAAGCGTGAGCTAAATGGGTTCCTATACGCCTAACAAGACTACAACCCTGGCTTAAGTATATGGCACGATGCCGAGTTATGACTAAATAGTTCAATGCTAAAGCTGAAGGTGGCAGTGTGTGCTGAAACAAAACGATAGTACTCGTATATTCCGGCAGATTTCTCCACGCAATTGGTAAAAATACATATCCTTAGGCCGGGTGAGAGAGGGGTCTGTACAATATCACCGTGCTCTTCGTTTTTTGTGTGTGTGCGTGCGCGCGCTACTTTTTCGGCGTTTTAACCAGTAAATCAATTTTCACGATATCTGGCATGAACATCCATTCATTGTAGGCCAACCTAACCTTTTATTTTTTAATTTCCTGCCTTCAGAAATAACAACTTGGCGTACGCACGAACTTATGAGGTGTAGACAACGCTAGCATCACTTAATTCAGGATCCTGATCTTGATATTACTAAAATGTTAGTCTTTAGCTGAAGCTTCACTTCTCTACTGACGCAAGATTCGACTCCGACTAAATAAGCTGTTTGGAACATCTCATATGTGATACGAATTTGCGTAGCTGTCATTTACCGTTGCAGCTGGAGAAAGAAGTCCCTCAAATTTTAAAATAAAAAATAACATTTAATGCTCTTTCAATGGCAGCAATGCATCTAATTGCTTTTATTTTGGAGGATGATTTGAAAATTTAGTCGTTAAAAGTTACATCCTGTATAAGCATAACTGACTAAGCTGTCTATCCTTACGTCAATATCCTGCTCACTAACTATATTTTGCCATAAGAAACACTGCAGTCTGAGGCACATCAGGGGTGGAAGGGTGGTTGCCCCATAAATCCTCCTCCTGTCCAGGCACATATTAATACAATGGGATGGTGATACTACCAATTAGAATATAATTTCTCATTTAAGGGCACCGATGGATTATTATAGAGGCAAAAGCTACTGGTGGAACTTATACAAGAAACAACCTCTTTGTCTTTTTTTTTTTTTCCTCAATGGGAAATATTCCAAGCGGACTGATAGAACGGTATCAGTTTGAGTGTGTATTCGAGGCGTGTCACTTTCGAGTACGACTTACAGCCGTCTCTTCTAAGATTGTACTAGGATTTCCTCCACCTCACGAGGAAGACGTCAAATAATACTTTGAAACAAGTCACGGCCAATTAATTCTTCCCATACATATCTGTTCGTCATTCTGCAGTTAGACCCGCTCTGTCATATACGAGCAAAATAAGAATTGTGTGATATGACATTGTCACAGTGGTAGTTAGGAGGAGTTCTATCTTGTGAGATGTAACGCCACGTAAACCGTTCAAAGTTAAATGACATTTCAGAGGAACACGTCTCCTCGGTAGAGCCACTCCTTGCGTGCTGCATGTTGGCTTCTTAGATGGCTTACTTTTCAGCCGTGAAGATGGAGGAAACAAGTTCCTCCGAAGCGTCGGTTGACTTTCAAAGGACTACATGGTGTTATATTGAGGAATATAGAAATCGTAATAATAATAATAATAATAATAATAATAATAATAATTAATCACTTATTTGTTGGAAAGAGACTGAAAAATGTAAATCATTGAAAAAGTGGTTATGAAAAGAAACAAAGATTGAACTGATTATAATTATTTATAAGATACATTCAGAAGTATTTGTGTAATTAAAATATAAAAAAATAAATTATTTAACTAAATTAAATAGAAAAGATGATACGTGAGGGTGATTGTGGAGCAATTGGTGGAACGAAGATTGGCAGAGGAAACCGAAGTACTCGGAGAAAACCTGCCCCAGCGCCACTTTGTCCACCACAAATCCCACTTGACCACACCCGGGTGGGAAACCAGAACTATGGCGCGGCCTTGGTGCGGTTGCATGGACTGTGCTCTGCGGAAATAGAAATGATCCGTAAGTGTTGCCAGTAGCCGCACTAACAGAAACGACAGAGGGAAAGAAGTAAGTTAACTCGCTCCTTTAGCACACGGCACTACTCTTACAAATTTGAGCCTAGATTTATAAAACTAAAAAATGACGATAAATGGCAAGCCAGTGTGGCCACAATTTATACAGGATCGACGGAAGAGGATTATAGTCTATCAACTGATAGGCATTCACAGGGCAGTCGCGTGATGTATCCCTTCCAAACAAAGAGGAAATTTTATAACTTCAGAATTACAGATTTCAGAAATATAAGAAAGAACGCATTGGTAGAATAAATTATAATAGGACCAATTGCTTTTCTCTCACTCTCTCTCTCGCTCTGCGAAGGACTCGAATTGCAGAAAGACATGTGGTTAGAAATAAAAGCAGGTGGGATGTTTCTGTTATTGATCTAATACTAGAAGGGCGATTGTAATCAAACTTATCGTGGCGTATTTGCTCCATGCAAGAAAGGTTGAGCCACAAAAACAACCGTTCCTTATTAATACACGCAAGCGACAATGGTCAACGGGCTTATGCAACCCGCTATTGGGCAATGGCTTTGTAAACACAATTCCACGCACGCGCAATGACGTCATATTCAAATAGTGCTTAGCTATCACGTGACTAGAGTTTTCTGTGTGGTCTACACTACGCAACAGTAGAACTATATTTTCTATGTTCTCCTTGCCGCTGCTAAAGCGAGACCCTTTTTAGCTAAGAACTGTCCAGGAAGGTTTTTTAGTTGGGTTCCGAGGTTCCAGGGTGATTGAACAAGAAATGGCAAGAAAACTTCATAGTGATTTGAAGTGCTAGTTTCTGTGTTGAGATCCATTGCTAGGAGACGACTAGTGGAAACAGAATTCTGTCGCGTGTGCAACGGTGAAGTGTAAATTGTGTAAATCAGCGACAGCGCTATATCAATTACAGTTAAGAGCGTTTGTAAACGAAGTGACAATGAGTGCAACCATCCGAACGAGAATCCGTTGTTTTCGTCACGAGCACCCTGCTACACGTGACAATATGTTTTGAACATAAGTCTGGATTTAACAGCAGCAATTTTTTAATTTTCATGAGAAATGAGCTTAATTTCAGTGAAATATGAAGTTTTTTTCATTTTATATTTACCCAACGGAATCCAATTGTGACCTTCAAAACAAAATATGATTGAAATAATTGCGTATTTTGGGATATAACGTCATTTGGCCCACTTACAGCAAATGGAACTTCTCTGCTTGGTTCATACAGTTTAATGGTTCAGCTTATTCTTCAACCCCGCAAATGGAGGCGATACGTCCCTCTGAAAAGTCAGTGGACTTTCAACCGTCTACTCTGTGCTCTAATGCAGAAGATAGAACACTTTATAGCCTCTTGTGAGAGACTATCAGTTCCTTACACAGGACATGAATTCCTGAAATTATTACGAAATGACTGAAATTAGTCATCCAGTTTCATGGCCGCCATGTATTTTGAAAGTATCTTATTTCTACATCGGTTATCAGTACTTAGACTTTGATCGACTCAAAAGAATAACTGAACAGCGCATTGTAATAGAACACTATCATTTTCATCCTATCTTTCCACATCATTCAGTACCGCCCACATAATCTTGGTACTACATAACGTAATTATCCACCGTCGTCTGAACCAAGGCTGCAGGTGTCCAACACTTAAGCCAATAATAACAGGTTTTCCACTAAACATTTTATTTCGAATAAAATTAAATTCAAATAATGTCAAACTGTCAAGCCGTGTTTGCAATATATAATACGTGTGTGTTGATTTATATATTTGAATCGTATATGGTATGTTAGGAGTATGTATAGGGCAGGTTCGCTCAAGGCAGTGGCGGAGGAAATCTTAAAGTAAAAGTTGGATTTAGCGGAAGTACAGGACGTCAGATGGGATGGAGGTGGCATCGCACCAGCAGGAGACTATACATTTTTCTATGGAAAGGGGAATGAAAATCATGAATTAGGTACAGGTTTTTCGTACATAGAGAATCGTATCTGCAGTTAAGAGGGTAGAGTTCGATAGTGATAGGATATCATATATAATACTAAAAGGTCGCTGGTGTGATATCATTGTTATGAATGTTCATGCCCCAACAGAAGATAAAATTGATGACATAAAGGATAGATTCTATGAAGAACTAGAACATGTATTTGATAAATTCCCTAAGTACCCTATGAAAATTTTGTTAGGAGATTTCAATGCCAAAGTAGCGAGGGAAGACATTTTCAAACCAACGATTGGTAATGAGAGTTTGCATGAAATTAGTAATTATAATGTAGTTGGAGAAGTAAATTTTGCCACATCAAAGAATCCTACTGTCAAAAGTACAATGTTCCCACGTCGTAACATCCATAAATTTACTCGGACATCTGCTGATGGAAAGATACACAATCAAATAGACCATATTTTGATAGATAGGAGACGGCACTCAAGTATACTTGATGTCCGATCATTCAGGGCAGCAGATTGTGATACTGACAACTGCCTGGTGGAGGCAAAGGTTACGGAAAGTCTGGCAGTGAGCAAACAAACAACACACAGAGTTCATATGGAGAGGTTCAATCTCAAGAAATTAAATGAGGTAGAAGGTAAAGAGCAGAAGTAGAGGTAGAAGAGCAGTATTGTGTCGAAATCTCAAATAGGTTCGCGGCTTTGGAAAAGCTGGATACTGAGGTGGATGTTAGTATAGCTTGGGAAACTATTAGAGAGAATTTTAAAATTTCTGTCAAGGAGATTGTAGTCTATTATGAACTGAAGAAGTATAAGCCTTGGTTCGATGAAGGATGCCCATAATTACTAATACCTGATCCTAGCCCTTTGAGGCTGAAAGTGCTACCGCAAAATTGAAACGGTATAAATCGCCAGGTAGTGATCAAATTCTGGCAGAACTTATTCAAGCAGGAGGCGAAATATTACATTCTAAGATCCACAATCTAATTACTTCTATCTGGGATAAGGAAAAATTGCCTGATCAGTGGAAGGAGTCTATTATTGTACCAGTTCACAAGAAGGGTGATAAAACTGACTGTAGTAATTATCGGGGGATATCACTGCTATCAACTTCATATAAAATTTTGTCCAATATTCTTCTTTCAAGGTTAAGTCTATTCATTCATTCAT